TGTTGTAGCACTCATCCCATATTGGTTACGGTTTGCTCAGGTAATTGCATTGTTGGATTTTGTCTCATTTAGCCTGAAGTAATACTGCTGCTTCTCTTCAATTCATGTTTCATCTCATGCTTTATTCACTTCATTTTTTCTTTTATCTTTCTAATCTCATATTTTTTGTAAATTTCAGTGCTTACGTCGCTTGCTTGAAGAAAAAGATAAAAGGCATTTGTTTAATGGCTTAAAGTATTTCTCAACAATCCTTGCAGTTGCCATGAGAACAATTTTTGACTTAAAGGGGCCTTCTTGGCTGATCTTGGCTACAGCCACTTCAGCTATAGCAACAATTTTTAACACATATTGGGACATTGTTATAGATTGGGGTCTACTAAGAAGGAATTCAAAAAATCCTTGGTTGAGAGATAAACTCATCATACCAAATCGAAGTGTTTACTTCATAGCTATGGTACGGAGATGTACACTGGTTTAAGGAGAACCTACTGCATGTATTACTATGCAGTTGGCTGCTAACTAATATTAGCTATTACTTTCTTTTTTTTTTTAATTTAACAATATTTTGCTTTGAGTTGCAGGTAGCAAACAGTTTGTTAAGACTTGCTTGGATGCAAATAGTGTTTGGCATTAGGGATGCACCTTTCATGCATGAAACAGCAATGATTGCATTAATTGCCAGCTTAGAGATCATTCGTCGTGGCATTTGGAATTTCTTCAGGTAATCTTATGCTCCTCTTTAGTCATCGATCTCTTCTACTTTGCTGCTAATTATGAATAGATACTTGACTGGAATTGGAAGTTAAATCAAAGATTTCCACTTCCCTCATGAAATCATATTAGAGGTTGAGTTGTTCGTTGAATTGATATGAGCCTCAGAAAAAACCCATCAAAACCACACAAGAATTACACAATAAGCACCCAATAACACACACAATAACACCATTTTTTTGTCAAAATCTACTGAACTAGAATAAATCATCCTGCAAATGGAAAACAGCCTTCCACTTATGTGTTTACCAGATCTAGGATCCCTTGCTTTATCTAACAAAGACTTGACTTTTCAATCATGATCAGATTGGAGAATGAGCATCTAAACAATGTGGGCAAGTATCGAGCATTTAAGTCTGTGCCGCTACCTTTTCACTATGAGTAATGGAGACGGGTGTAGAATACATACACATGGTACAGAAGGGAATAGAAGATGAAATCTTGTCAGTATCCATATATGCAGAGAGAACATCCTTCCCAGTCCTTACCAGTCCCATGTAATATTTCTTTATCTATTCCTTATTAATTAGTGTTGATTATTTCATTCATTTAAAACACAAATTTGTTATGCACAGAACTTATAGTTCTAGTAGCAAACATATAAATAACAGCCCTATGGGATATTGAAAACAAGTCCCTTGTACTGTACAAAGAGTTTGTAGTTGATAGTTTGTTTTCCATGAATGTTATAAATGAAAGATCATTGTTCTTCAGCAAAGTAGATTCAACACTAGATCTTTTTAAGTACTCGCTCGCTGATAAACAAACGTTAAATCTCTATATTACCCACCTTTTTACGCGGTACATTGCATGCCACGTTAGTTAAGACGGTCTTAACATCTAGTAATTTTGGAACTTAAAACTTTGATACTCTTACAATTATCACAACTTATGTCTTTGAAAGTAATAGATTATTGGTTTTGTCAAAGGAAAGAGATATTGCTCCTACAAGAACTGTTAGGAGAAAATTATTCTAAAATATCAAGACCATTTTCAACATTTGCTCTGTCTCTATGACTATAATAGAGTCTCATTCTTAGAAATCAAGAACTAGAAACACTCTAAGCTTCCGATCTAAAATCAATTAGACAAGAGAATGATAAGAACGCCCAAAACTTTTTGGAAAGGATTTGCTATCACAAGAAGTATAGTCTAAAGGGGTTTTAACTTATTTCCCACAATCTTTTCTTTTTAGATTATTTCATTTTTATTCATTTGCTTTAGTATTCAATTTAATTTAATTCTCTATGTTGTTTGCACAAACGGAATCCATTGTGAGGGATGCGGAGTACCTCTTGCCTTTACAAAGTCTAAGCCATACTGCAACTTTAACAAACAAAAAAAAAAACTCTTATTAAGGAACCTTTACACATTTGTTTGGACCCAAAACGCGTGAAAACCAAGTATATATATATATATATATATATATATATATATATAGGTTTCAAGTGCGTAATAGGAACAGTCACTTGCTTAATTTACTGTCACCTAATAAATTTACCAAGGGCGTAAGAGTCCATTAACGGGCAGGAACCAAAATAAAAATTCTTCTAAGGCTAGAAATATCAAATTTTCAATTATTGCAAATTCAAGATACTTTAAAGGTACTAAATCTTAAAAAAATGGTTAAATTTATAGTGAAACCACTAAACCCATTCCATTACTTCCTTACTTTGTGTAAGTGAACTTACAATTAAGGCTTGTTTGTCTTGTTTATAATAGATTTCTAATGGATTATTGAAAGGTTTTCTTCCTTTCTTTCTTTTTTTCTTTTATTCATCCAATGGTTTATTTTCGCATAGTTTTTAAT